CTTTCCACAATAATAACACATCAATGGTCCGTCTCGAAAGACTCGTTCTTGAAACTCTCCTCGTGGAGGTCCGTTGTTTGGTGGTGGTGGTCCATAGGGTCCGCTTGATGGTTGTTGATTACCATTGTTTTGCTGGAACTGTCCCGACGAATTATTCCATTGCGAATTGGAATTATAGCCTCCTCGTCCTCCTTGAAATCCGCCATATCCTCCACGATTTCCGCCGTAGTTTCCTCTTCCTCTAGTCATCCCAAAATTCGAGTATTGTCCTCCATTTTGATTATTGGGACCAGAACCATTGTTGTTAATGTTCTGCCCGCCTTGTTGTCCTCCTCTGAAGTACGTTGAAGAGTTAAACTGAGGTGCGGGTCCTCTATTCTGCGCTGGTGGTCCATAGTTATTTTGTTGGCCAGAGTACGAGTTGTTTTGAAAACCCTTATGGACTTGGCCATTTGAATTCGCCGCCAATGGTCTACTCATTCTTTGACCGCTCCACGCCGCAAACTGCCGTACCAATTCACTAATAGTTGCTTCATCCGCGGACTTTCCTCCAATCTTCTTATTCAATCCTTCCAGTTTTAATCCCCGTCTCTCCTTTTCCTTTTGTACAACTTTCTCTTTAAGTTCCTCGTCCTTCTTCGTCTCCACTTCTTTCTTTCCTCGTAACTCTTCAAATACCAACTCTACTTCCTCCTGTACCACCGTATAAACCGTATTCTTCAATATCTTCCATCCGGGCAACCGGTGCCTTCCGTCCTTAGTTTTCCGTAAATCTCCATCATCTCGCAACTTTTCTTTAATTTTCCTCTGCATACTATCCGAAAATGCTCTATAGTAAAGATTACATATTTCGTCCTCCGAGTCAATGTAGTCATACTTCTTAAGGTAGACAAGTATACTATCAAACTTGTGACAAAAGCCTTCAAATTCCAACTTTGAATCAATGCCGCCGCTTCCTTCATACTCCAATGCTAACTCTTTCAAATCTTCCACCGTATATTTAGGCGCCTCCCGTATTGACGCATACCAATCCTTCATTTCCGCCTTCAATAACTTCCAATCCCATTCTCCTTCGCCCCAACCCTTAAGTTCTTTAATTTCCTCCTTCAAGTCTTTCCCGTTCACAAAAGCGCAAACTTGCATCGCCATGTCTACACCGCTAGCTCCATCCACGTTTGCCGCAACCTCGAAATCTTGTAGAAATTTTTGAACATCGTCGCCACGTCCAAACCGTAATTCCGGGTCTTGTGGTTCAATTTTCACAACCTTCTTCTTTCCCTTCTTGTTCTTCTTCCTCTTCTTAATTTCTCCATCACTGTCCTCCTCCGAACTCGAGCTATCATCACTACTACTATCCGAACTGTAATACTTCTTCTTTCCTTTCCCCGTACTTTTCTTGCTTATTTTCTCCCGTCTCTCTTCCTTTAATTTCGCGTCTTTCAACATTTTTACTACTCTTTCCATATTCTGTGCTTCAATTCGAGCTTCCTTTAAATAATCCTCCGCTTCTTGAATTGTAAGTTCCCCATCTTTAAGCATTCCTTCTACTTCTGCTATTGACACTTTCTCTTCTTCAATTATTGTTTTGCCCTTCGTTGTAATTCCATCATCTGACTCGTCACCACTTTCTTCCTTCTCCCTATATAAATTCTGTCCCTCTTTACCGCTAACACTTCCCGCTTTGCTACCCGCCACAGACAAAGACTTTGCCGACGTACTTTGTTTTGGATCCGATGATGATCCAAGATTGATCTGAGATGACATGTTGAGAATTGAGAATTTTTACTGAGTTCGAAAATGTGATGTTGAGATATGATGGATTTTTGAGAGTACGATAATTTGTTGATTTTCGAAACTACAATGCGAAAGAGCACCCGCGGAGACGCAGAAGTTGTTTCGAATGGCCCCAGTGGAGTCACCAGATGTAGAACTCCTACGCAGTGTAGCGTAGGCTGAGCCGGAGAGGGTAAGAATCACCACTCGTGAGAGTGGATGAAACTACGGGTGCGGTGAAGCTGCCCTCGACCTTTTGTTGCAGTTCGAAAAGAACCAGAGCAATCTAACAACTTTCTATCTTCACAAATTTTTCCCGCAAAACCTTGTTTATCCCGTAGATGGATGCGCAAAGTCTGGCGGAGCCTGGCGGTGTACAGTACACGCCTATACAACGTCTATAGCCGGAGTTATGCAAATTTCGATTTTTGACTACTTTTGGATTTTGAGTCCGCAATGTACTGTTACAATTGGAGAGGGGGGAGATGGTTTTGTCGGCGGCGGGGATTTTCCAGAAAAATTGGTACTCAGACCCAAATGTAACAATTGATAATTGTTTCGAATAATTGACGAAGTCGAATTTCCAGAAGGGATTTTTTAAAATTGACGGATTTGTTGAGAGGGATGGGATTCGAACCAGTGCTCAGGGTTGGCCCCGAGTTGTTTGAGCTTTCACAACCAGTGACAGTACTGACAAATAGAATAAAAAAAATAAAATAAAATAAAATAAGACCAACGTCTTCACACCACTTCACTCCAGCTCAGCATCCGATCAAGACTTCACTATCAATAAATCACACACTACACTCTCATCAAGTTTAGCAAGAACGCAAACAAATCTCACTCAAACAATATCAATAGCTTTATTTAAAATAACTAAACTCTTCAAGACAAATTATTTGATCTTAATCACACAAATAACACTACGCCAAATTGAAAATTTACCGCTGAGTTTAGAAAATTGAGCAGACATAGACAATTGTGGAAAAGCTGGGAGGGGTCAGAAAAATATGAACAAATATTGGTTGGGCCCTTTGGTGCATTCCAATCATCTGGCATATTTTTTCATATTTTTACAACCACAATGCAAATAATGTCAGAAACCCAGATTTGGTCCAAAACTGGCAGGTAGAGAGACAGTGACCTTGCAACACCAACAAAATCATCAATTTTGCTCCAACACTTGTAGTGTCTTGACATTCTGAATGCCACATTCTGGCTCTACAGTTTTTGTGCACAAAAAAGCTGTGTGTCTCCAAGAATGGGTGAGATATATCAAGAGACGTACACAGCAGGAACCATATATAAGCATAGAAGTCATTACCACAATGGCTTCAGCACGTTAATAAACCTTGTAGAGCCATCATGCGACTTCCATAAATTGCAAGTGTTCAGATGATTGAACAAAAATACTCATATTTTTGTGCTTGAAGGTTTTTGCCCAAATATTGCTAGTTTTGGACCAAATTTGAGTTTCTGACATAAGATCCCCTGTGAGCATTTTGATTTGGGGAGACTTCAAACATCATGGCAAAAAGATGCAAATATATGCAATATGAGGGGACAGCACCCATGAATTGAATCATTATTTTTTCAAATTTTTCCGACCTCCCTTGTATTGGTGATATTTTTCTACAGTTTCAATTTTATAAACTCAGCGGTAAATTAGTGATCTGGCGTAGTGTAACACACTCAAGATTGAAAAAAGAAACTCTTCAAGACCTTTCTTTTACTCGATCACAATCTCAAAAAAAAACTAATCAACTCTTCCCCTACACACCCACTTCTTCATACGCTCAAGAGCCCCCTTTTTATACCTTCATCGTACTGCAAAAACCTCGAACCAGCCAAGTCCTCCTTCCCCAACTTTCCTCAACTTCACTCCGATCGCAACCGGATTCCCGTTCAATTTTCGTTTAGGTTTTGATTCACTGGTATGTACTCTTTTCTTTCTTTCTTGCTCATCCTTATATTACCCAACTCACATTTATCACCTCATTTTTACTTACCCCAATCTTTTATTTAGGTTCTTTCATCGCTTCCCTTATCCAACCGATCGTGCTGATACCCTCAACTTGTCTCCACCTCCACTTCAACCTTTCCCTCCGATCTCGATCACATCTTCAAATTCGAGGTAAGTCTTTCACTTCTCTTTTCCTATTCATCTTTAACTTTCTTTAATGAACTAACTCTTCTTTCTCCACCTTCCTCTCACCCTTCTCTTAATCTATACAACTTTTTTAGATTCGCTCCCAGCCCTCATCATCCCAAATTCATCAATAACGAATGTGTATTAGCTTCAGCTTTCCTCTTTCACTCGATCTTCATGACTCTTCTATACTCAATCTCAATTTCGATTTCTTTAACCTTCAACTGTAAGTCACTTTCTCTGATGATTATCTTCCTTTTAATCTTGTACTGACTCTCCTTCATTTAATAGTTTAATTATTGACTTGATCTTCTTTCCTAGGTACCGATCGATCGATCCCCAGCTCTCGAGATTCGATTTCATATTAAATTTTGTTTTCGCCTCCTTCTTCTCACCCCCCCACTCCTTTTTCTTTTCTCTTTACCTCCACATGTATCCCATCTCGACTATGATTTAAAATTGTTAATTTATCTTCTTTGCTTCTTTTATTAACTTTATTTCTAAATTTGATCATCTAAAAAAACTTCCTTTTTTTATATATGTAATTTCCTTTGCCCGGATTCATTCAAGATAATTGTAATATAAAAAATTGGTCTTGAATTAAAGTAAAAAAAATCCTTATTTGATTGAATTCACAACTACACCTCGAGGCAGTTGTAGCGAGAAGAGCGTGTTCCGATGAGTAAAACAAAGAAATGATAACCATGAAAAGATTGAGTGGTTAACACCAAAGCTCAGCTATAAAATGCTGAGCTGAAAGGTGATCTGATCACCACAACGCAGGGAACATACAAGGGAAAAAGATTGGATTTGAAGGGCATTGGGGATCATCACGTACAAGAGCTGTAATAATCCTGAGGAAATCAATGAGCACGATCTGATCATTTGAATGGATAGAAAGGTGGTGGTGATATCAAGCCAATTGTGTCACAAATGGTGGAACACTGATGGTTTAATGCAAAGCTTTGCAAGCCTCCAGTAAAAGCGTTGTCGAGAAACCAAGTACATCTACATATGTGATGAAAAAATAAGATTAAGTGAATGTGGGAGACAAGTATGGTGTTTGTAAAGGAACTACTCACGTATCATCCATGATGGTTAGATTGGTGATAACATCACCAAAACCGCGAAATCCACAGATAACAGCATGTCTTCCATGATACTCCTAATTCCAGTGAGTAAAACAAGAAATAACTGCCCCCAGAAAACACTTGGCCCTATGTTGAGGTCAAAACTCACAATCAGAGGTGATGTAAGCCGGTAGTACAGGAGGCGGTTCTTGGAGATTTCAAAAACGCTTGACAGGCTCCACACCTCCATCATAACCCTTATACATCACCACGTTCTGAACAACCTATATTGATGTATAACTTACAGGATACAAAGTAGAAGCCGGGCACGTGCCTGACTTTGTGCCCAGATTTTTTTTGGTAGTAAATTCGAATTCTGGGCCCGGACTTTTGCCCAGAAAATCAAAATTTACTGCCAAAATAATTCTGGGCATGTGCCCGGATTCTACTTTGTATCCCGCAAGTGTTCATCTATACATTAGCAGTGCACTTGGGCGCCCAATTGGAAATTTCCTTGTGGACTCACGCGCAAGTTCTTCATGTGTTCATCTTGTTTTGGAGAGAAACAGATTTGTTCTTCAAGGATGATCTTGAATTTATCAAGGAGGCACGCTGCATGAAGGTACACCTGAGTAAAGTGCAGATAATGTTCCAGAGTCTCATGGCGTGAATGAAGAGCACATGCATTTAAAACAATGATGTCATCTGATCCTGGTTTCAAAATTGCGGGATGAGTTGTCCGACCGTCCCAATATGAGAGATGTTGAGTTTGTTCCACATCCACAAAAACATGTTTACATGCCCATTTGTAGTCAAGGACATCTGATTGACTTTCTGACCCAATATGTGGGACTACCACAAATACCAGGTCAGTCTCTGTGTTTTGTAGTGGATGAAATGGTAGAGCTCTCAGACTCCATCCAAGGTCTTCTGAAGCATCAATATGGATGGCACGTGGACCTGTTGGGTGACAAAAGATCAGTACAAACAGATTGATAGGCAGGTACATATATATGTACCCACCAAAGCCTAAAGTTTGGTATAAATCTATCCGCTCCATGTTGTCTCCAGGTTCTTGAACTAAGGATCAGTGGAAAGGGAGCTGGGCGGAGCAAGCTCTCCAATTATTTGATTGTGGTGATTGTCAAGGCAGTTCAATGATATAGATGGTTTTTTATGGGGTCAACTCAGCAAGATAAAAACGCACAATTAGAAAACAAGATGGTTTGCATGAATAAATCTCACTCACTCGCTTTACTTTAATAGTGAGTGATTCATCAAAATCAACGTGTTTCACAATGACTAAGTGTCACATTCAGCATGGCAGTAGAGATCTAAGGGTATAACGTATTGGATCAGTTAGACCAGGTATGATTGAACTGATCCCATGTCTGATTAATTGGTGTGAAGCGGCACAAACATGTGACAATTCAAGATGAAAAACAGGTAACGTAACCAACAAAAACAAAAAAGAATGAAGAATGAGTGAAAGAAAGCAAGGGAAAACCACCATGTATTGGTTTTTGCGTGAAGGAGGACCCTTGTTCACTCCCAGAGCATGAATGTGATGCTCTTTCTGTGGGCAAGGGTCTTGATGTTGCATGCTGGAGGAGATCAACAAGTGTAACTATAGATAATGAATTGGTGCAAGTCCTGACACTTGCACTGATCCATATTAGTCTTAGTTGTAGTCAATGCAACCACTTTCAGACAGATGACAACGACTCTTGGGAGCCGCTCCACAGCGCAAATTACATCCTTCCATCATGTTGATGAGCAAGGAACATGACTTGTACTCAAGTAATAGGAGTACTGCAACTCAAGATACTTACTATATTATATATGTTGTTGCATCTATATATAAAACAACGAAACAATATATATATTTAATTGCACATGAGTTTTGGACACTCTATTTCTACATCAATCATTACCAAAAGGAAGGGGGAATATATGTACAGATATACTACAGGTATATACATTGATGATGTTCTCAAAAAACTTTGAAAGGGCCTGTGGTTGATTGCTCAAGTGCTCATAAGAGGTTTATTGTTTTTGGTTTTGGGGGGATAGTTTGAGGAGCTGATGAGGCCAAGAAAGTAGGGAGATCAACGTCTCCCCACTTGTTCACACCCAAAGACTCATTAGCTAAATCACGGGCATGAAGCCATACAGATTTGATTGGTGGGAGCTGTAATGTAATTGTTTTGAGGGCAGGTAGTTTGAGGAGGTTGCATCCAAGATTGCACTTGTGTTGAACTGGCATGAGTGCCACTGCAGATACATGACCATTCCTTTTCCCCCAAACATTTCTACATTTAAAGTGATTTGGATGTAAGCAGTGAGATCCCAAGTTGTTTGAATAATGCTCATACATACACTGGATTGATGTCCATTATCTCTGGCTTTGTGACCACAGTGCCCAAACGATGTAAATTGGTCACAAAACAATGAACTTTGCTGTGTTGATACGACCGGTGACAAAACACATCAAGTATGTAGTACTGTTTGTAGGTGTTTTGACAAGAGGAAAACCAAACCAGTTTGGAGAACTGAAGGCCTGTAATGGCAGCTCCAATTGTTCTTCAACATGCATGGTCTCAAATGGGCCTTGCATTTGATAATCTTCATTTGGAGACTCAGAGCTGATGATTGAATGGTCAACAAGCTGCTTGGACAAAGACAAGGAAGACATATATCTAATCAGCAATTTTTCCGTGTGTAAAACAGGGGGTGAAATAAGGCTCACACATAAGTTTTTCAGCGTATCCCAAGACTCCACATAAAGCCTGCGACTGTCTTTGATTGAGACACAAATTCACAGAGTAAGAGATTTACCACAGTGTATAGGTGGGCCGTTGTTGTTGGAGCAACCAAGAGAATATGGAAGGGATTGGCCAGAACAGACTTGCTTATGAGTGTCGTAGGCCCATTAGGAGTCCAGACCTCATTTGTTTGGACACAATGTGTCCAACCTTTGTGTTAATCTGCTTTGTTGGGCCAACAATATGCAATGAAATGAGATTCCACAGTGTTCCCATCAGATTGTACCTGCCATTGTAATCCAGGTACCCATGATAGTCCACGGCGGCTGTGTAGCCTGTATGGTTCTTGTCAACGGCGAGAGTTCTGCGGAGCAGAACCCCGGGCGTATTGACAAAAAGAATACATAAACATTATATTATTAAAACCCCACAACTCTATCACTCTAGTTTCAAGAGTGTACAAATTACAACACTAGTAATCAAACAAGAAAGAGTAAGTAAGGGTCTTAGAGATGATGACATCGTTTAATCAAAAGACCCTAGAAACTAACCCTTACCCAAATTCCATTACGAAAACTACCAAGGGATTGCCTAAACCTTACAACTGGACCAGCTCAGAACTGGCTCAAACAAAATCAACATCTAGTCTTGGCTAACAACAACCAATCAAGAACCAGATAGAAAAGAGCATCCTCTAATCACTAAGAAAAGAGAATCATCTGATACAACCCTTACAACATTTCTTTCTCCCTTTAGTGAAAAGAACTCTATCTTTACTTAAAAACCTTTTTCTTATCTCAAAGCAATAGTTACCTTTTAAAAAAGACCTCTTTAGAATCTAGACTCTTTCCTTTAACATACTCTTGTCTTTGTTTCATACCTTCTTCCTTTTCTCTTTGGATACTTCTCGTCTCTCAGGAGCGTTAAAGATTGTGTAGTACTGCCTACTCAACTAACATTTCTACACCAGACCTCCTCTCAATAGAACCAAGTGTTATTGGACTACTGCGCAAGCACACCCAAAGCTAGTTTACTTAACCGTATCCACTTTGGTAGAACTATCTGTCAATTACTTAACTCAGATCAGTTAGTCATACAACACTTCTTTAGATACATTCCATTTATCACAAAGATTCAAAACCAAGTATAACATTTATAGATCTTATCTTTATCAAAAAAACATTTTGTGAGTAGTTTTCACCCAAGTCTGACTCACATTGAAGACTTTGGCTGACAGTTCTCAAGAGAGACCAAAACGTTCAATGCCCTCAACATTGTTCTTTTCATTTGTATAGAGTAGTGGAATTCTGGTGATTACCGGATAACATTTCAGTCAGTCACATTGAAAAAAGGAAAGCAGAGGTGATACAAGGAAAAGACACCATACCACTAGAACCAAATACAGATTTCCTGACCATTGGTATAAGTGACAGTGGTGGATTGCTGTGATTAGCCTGCTCCTTGTTGGTGACGGTGTGGTGATCTATTTATGGGATCAGTCAAGAAAATTAATCATCATAACTTTTATCAACTTATTAGGACACTTCAGTATAGCAGAAAATTCAAAATGCAGGTTTTTTTAAATCAATTGAAGCTCTTAGATGCTTATGTATACTCAAAATTATGTCATCTTATTTCAAATATATTCTTAAGATCATTATAGTTTACTTACAAAGTTATTACAAAAAGACAGGAAAAGAAAAGATAAGAAAAATTTGAAAATATCGGTGTAAAGTTGGAAAAAGGTTTTTAGGGTATTAATAATTAAGTTATGGGTTTATTAAGGTTAGAATATGAAATAACAACACTTTATTATACAGTAACAGTTTTAATCTTGGGGGTTGATAAGGGAAAACAGAAGTTATTAGTGGAAAGGTACTTTTTTGAAGATGGTAAACAAGGGTTATATGTGTAGTTTACATATGTAGTGGTGGTAGTGATGGAAATTAGGGTTGCCAAGATTATTTTCCAGGGTTTTTAAGGCTGTAGAAGATGATGTCATATTACATGAGCAAGAAAAAAGGAGTAGCAGCTGTGGAAAGTGAAGAAAATGGGTGAATTTCGTCGAAAATGAAGGTTTTCAGCTAATTACATATGTCAAATGACGTCGGATTAGGTTGGTAGATAGCTCATTCATCGCAGAAGTGTGTATTACATAATGTACAAACTTTAAATCATTAGTAACGGAGGTATATGTCAAAAGTTATAAGGGAAATAAGAAATTGGTGTGAATCTCGAATTTACAGTCACAAGTCAACATGTAACACCAAAAACCTTAACTTCACAGCTCAATATCTTACTCATCACTCATCAGAAATAGGTCATATGTGTGTCATAAATGATCAGTATCACGAGGGCTACAAGATGCACTATAGTAGATCAAAATTGGACCACATCTGAAAAAATTTGTAATCTCAAAAATTGGTTTGCAGCTGGTTTACAAGGAAAAAATCACCTGTATTCATCTTAAGAAGTGCTTTACATTAAATCATTGCGTCATTGATCACTTTTGGCTGTGAAAATTACATCATACATTAGTAACAAGATCATTACATTGCGTCATTACATGGTTTTTAGGGTTCTTTTGGCTGGTTTTTGAGGCTGTTGACTATTGTAGAGGTTGTTACATGTGGATATAAGTACTCCTTGATGATTTTGGGATTGTTGTTTTCTTTTCTGCATCTTATACCTTTGTTGTAGTGTTATAAATCATCATTTATTTACTATATTTGTACTAAGATCACTTAAATCCGCCCCTTCAAAGCAAGGAGAAATTTATTTACGTGTGTTAAAGAATATAAGTCAATTTGGGAATAATACTTGACAACAGTATTGCTAGTAATAACATAGTGTGTGAACTTTTTTGCGCTTAAAATCTGGGAAGAATACTACACAACAGTATTGCTTTATTTCTCTGGTGCCTTTATCTTTTTCTCTGTTATCACAAAGTGGTCAGCAAGTGCCCTTGTGCTGGTTTCTTTAAAGAAGGCAGTCTTTAGGCAACTTCTACTATATTACACGTAGTAGATTATCCCTTCTTAGGTGTTGTAAAGCTCTTGTTGAGCTTTAAATACTACAACAGTTAGGCTATGTTCATACCGTGAATGGTTGTAGATGAGACTAATCAAGTTGTGTTGGGAGAACCACCATATGAGATTGGTGGACTCAACTGTTGCTTCCTGGTCACCCAGGGTGGTGAAAGAAAAGGCATCAGGGTTGAGAACTTTGACTATCTTGTTGGGGACAAAAAACTTTTGGAAGTGATCCCATAGATCTTGTCATAACTCTTTGTAAGCGGCGGGATTGAACAGATTTGTTGGGCAAGAGACAGAAAGTGGTTCAGATTTGACCCACTTTGGTGCCTGGTATGTCTCAAAACCACATATGAAGTTGATGATTGGGCTGGAAGTTTCATATGATGGGCTGTCCTGAGCTTTTTGAGGCCCTCAGGTGGAAGTAGTTGTCCCTGTGCCTCCCCTGGATTGCTCTGCTCTAGTTGCCGGGAAGCCAGAGGCTGTACAAGTACTGTTTTCTTTGGCCACTGCAAGTGGGTCGAATGATTGGGAAGAGGTGTGGCCTGGAAGGTGTGGCAAAAGGTGTGATGATGGGGTTGGAGGGTGCTGAAGGAAGTTGTTGTGGGCTGCCACTGTTGCAGCAGCATGTTTGAAAGCATGTGAGCTAAATGATGCGCTGGAGGAGGGATGGCTAGAGGGTGTAGTGTGTTGCAAGTAATTTGGTATGAGGTTTGGGGGATGGTTTGGCTGAGGATAAGGATTACTGGGATTGACTAGCAATGAGAGGCCTTGTTCCATTGAAGCAGGTCCACTGGTGGGTTCAACTGGTGAGGGTGTGGTGGATGCAAGGCAATTATCCAGACATGAACCACACATATCACAGTAAGATGACTGCTGCTGATGGCAAACGGTGCACATCATTGAGGACATATTGAGATACAACAGGGACAATCACAGAGAAATGAAGCAAATTGAAATTTTTGGAAAGTTAACTGAGGAAGAAGGAGAGAGGTGGTTTGTAAAAGACACAAAAACATACGTTTGAAGGGGGCTATATATGTATACACACCACCCGGCATGTTTACCATACGCAGTGACCCCGTCTTGTTTTGGCGCAGTTGGCAATTTGTGGCAAGGCAAACATTAAGAAATTGGATGCTGGGCGTAAAGCAATCTGAACCAGACCGGAGTAGCGGACCATTGTGCTGGCGGGGTGCAGTAGTCAGGGTTGGCACATGCTCAGCATGGCTTTTGATCAGGCCTGTATGACGAATTTTGCTGGTCTGTCGTTTTGTCCGATTTGGCGTTTCTCGGCCACCATATTTTGGGAGCACCAGAGGATTGCCAGAGATTGGGAATGGGAGCTGTATGAATGAATGGGCATACAGGAGTTGGTCAACACTCAATTGGTCTGCACTTTTCTTTTGAAACATCCAACAAAGCACCACATCGTTGGCTTCGTGTATATGTATGTACACAAAGTTACGTTCTTTCCAATGATCACCGAGTGTTGAGAGGATTTGCAGTTCCAGAGCAGGAGCATCATCAACTCTGTCAGCCCTAGGTACATATGTATGTACCTAAAGACTAACTTGTAACATATATAACCACTTTCAGACAGCTAATTACATGTACATAAAGCTTACAAAACATATGTAACTTGTAATAAATCATATACACTTATTAATTACATATACATACACATTTAAAATGATATGTAATATGTAATTATATATCAATTACACCTCATAACTCAGTGTCAAGAGTTAAAAAAAAGCTTATATTACATATTACATATAACACGTATATGTAATTAAGTACTATTAGAAATAATCCCAAATAATAATAATAATCAAACCCTAAACCAAAGTAGGGATGTAAACAAATCTCACCACAGTTAGGTTTGGAGAGGAGAGTATATAAACCCCTCCTCTCTCAGCCTTGAGAGATTTCCCCCAAGCTTTATTACACTCTACTTTTAAGAACAACTTAAAGTTCTACAGAAGTAACATCAAGAGTCTTATAAATATAAGACTAGTGATATCTTCTTTACTTTAATCTGTTCCTGGATTAAAAGTAAGTAATACTCTTCACCTCCTCAGGATCCTCTACTTCCCCCAAGTAGAACTCTCCTTGGTTGGTGACCATATAACAACCCAAGGTTGGTGACCATAGAATAACCCAGGTTGGTGACCATAGAATAACCCAAGGTTGGTGACCATAAGAACAACCCAGGGTTAGTGACCATAGAACAACTAGTCTAGTGAACTTCAACCCACTCTTTAATCTGTCACTTGAAGATTAAAGGAAGGACTAGGATCCACCCTTCACCCTTACAATCTTAGTTCAGTATCTTCCATTCCTCATCCTTTCCCTTTGTTTATAATTCTTTGTAACTACTTTTTATATTGCAATATAATCATATTTACTTGAATTATAAGACCCACCTTGCCCAATGAGTGAGCCTTGAGTACTCAAAAGAGTAACCAACCCTCACAAACTCATACCCACTCCAAAGCAACATATCAATTGAAATTGATGAAGCAAACAAGCAAAGCTCTCGGATATGTTAGTTTGAAAACCAATGTTTTTTTGACCCAACACCAATGGCTCAATCAAATATCATAAGCTGAGATAATCAAAAATGACTCAAGATTGTAAGGACAAAACCAGTTAAGAGTGTACGCTAGAACAAACAGCACCACCAGCTTGTCAAACCAAGGATTGGCCTGTCTGAATTTGAGAGCACTTCAAGTGAGAGAAACACCATAAAGAAAGTAGAACAAGACATTTGATTGACTCTCTTCCGATCATTGTCAGGTTGGTCTTGCACTCAGAACGTTCTGATCAATGGCACTTGATCAATGCTGATTAAAAAGTGACAGCTATCGAGGCTTTTTCATCCGGCTCTCCAGTAGGTCCTTTCATTTGCAACCCTTTGCAACCCCTATAACTCAACTTAAGTCAGAAAAATCATCTGAAGAACTTGGAAGACTCTGATTTTGATGTTATGATTGGTCTGGTCAAGATTATCAAAATGTAATGGTCTTATGTTGCACGCTACATTGTTGTACTCAAAATGCATCAAAAACATATGCAAGCTATGGTTTCTATGCCGACCCATGGGACAAATGTTTACAAAGAAGGTTGTGTACTGCTCAGCCTAAACCTCTGGACTGAAACATGGCAGTGAGTACAGGCTCATACATCCCATTCCCATTCCCGCAATTCCCAACCTCCGGCAGTCCTCCAATTCTCTGGGGATTTTGGTGTGTCAGGGCATGTACTGTCTGCTTCCAGAAAACCAGCGGGCACAGTCGGCCGGACGGGGCCAGGGCCGGGTCACAGCCCTAGACACACCTACCCAGCGTTAAGTCGGATACACATATCCGAGGATAATTATGGCGTTCAAACATGTGCAAGAAATTTGCAAAACCGATGTGCAAGATCCGTGCAAGATCCGTGCAAGATTTCTTGCACGGATCTTGCTTAAATAATTTTTTCACAACCCCCTGCTGTATGTATCTCATCAAGGGCAAACTGAGTCCTCGAAGCGGGGAAGCCTAGGTTCACACATAACTTTCTTAAGTCTGCAAGTTTCGTGGAAGTTCTATGCAAGATGTTTAAAAGAACTTGCACAGAACTTTCTCGCAACTTGCAAATTTCTCGCGCATGTTTGAACGCCATAAATATGTTGCCGGTGTCGCGAGGGACTTTTAAGTTTGGTGTGTCAGTGAGATTCTTCAAAAATGCCACATAAAGCCATGATAGCGTTCAAGTCCAGAGTGCTAAACCCATGAATAGTGATCGACGATTGATGACGTATGTATGTACATAAGTCAGATTGAGTCTTCATCAATCGACTTCATTTGACACTTCACTTTACTTTTCATCATGCTGAGCCAAAACTTGAGTAAAACAAATAAACTCATCGGAATACCTCATCATCTTCATCTTACTACCCGAAAGCATCTGTATCGAACTTTGAGACTTTCAAAATCATTTTCTATCTCAACTAGGGCACGACCTGTACTTGAACAGCTATCGATCTTACCAACATCTCAAGATCCGTTACCAGGACTTTATGACGGAAAATGGAAACAAGGTCATGGAGAAATATTAACTCCGTGTGATCCTGCAGATGGTAAACCAATAGGACCAACCATTTCATCACCCAATGCAACCGAAACAACTGCCACAGTCTTAGCCGCTCGTCAAGCAGCCTTAGAATGGAGAAAAGTACCTGGTCCAAAACGTGGTGAAATTTTAAAAGAAATTAATGCAAAGCTGACGGAAAAGAAAGAACTTTTAGCTTCACTTATTACGATTGAGATGGGGAAAATCAAAGCCGAAAGTTTAGGTGAAGTAGAGGAAGCGATACAAATTTTTGATTATGCGTTGGGTCTTAGTAGAATGTTTGGTGGAAAGGTGATTTCTAGTGAACGAAAGGGTCATGTGATTCAAGAGATTCCGAATCCATTAGGTTTAGTAGGAGTTATTTCAGCTTTCAATTTTCCTTGTGAGTCAAGCATCTTTCAAGTCTTTCAACTGACTTGAGGGAGAAAGTTGAGTTATTCTTTCTTTTGGTTTTCATCAGGTGCGGTTTATGGTTGGAATTTCGGTCTTTCCTTCATTACTGGCAATTCAACTATTTGGAAGCCCTCGCCCTCAACTCCACTAACCGCAATGGCTATGACCAAGATCATTACAGAAGTTATCGAATCACATGGTTTACCAGGGGCTATCGCGGCCTTGGTTTGCGGTGGGAATTCCGTTGGCCAAACACTCGTTAACGATAAAGGTGTTGATCTTGTTAGCTTTACTGGGAGTGAAAGAGTAGGCAAGGAGGTGGGTCAACAAGTGCAAGCTAGGTTTGGAAAGACATTATTGGAGCTTGGTGGGAATAACGTAAGAATCCTTCGAATTGGGTTTCATCATTTTACAAGTCCACATTCGCTTCATTCACTCATTTGGAAATGTGGGTCTCGATAGGCGCTGGTGGTGATGCCGAGTGCCTCAATGGACCTTGCATTACGTGCTACTGTGTTCGGTGCAGTAGGCACCGCCGGCCAAAGGTGTACAACTACTCGTCGTCTATTTTTACATGAGAGTATTGCACCTCAGTTCACCAAATCTCTTTTAGCTTCATACGCTCAAATCGCCACTCGCTCAGGTCACGGTCTTGATTCAGGAACTTTGATATGTGCTCTACATACTCCCGCAGCTGTGCAACAGCATATAGCTTGTATTGAAGCTAGTAAGGCAGCAGGTGGTAAAGTACTGTTTGGTGGCGGCAAGTCAGCCAAGCAATCAGGTTGGTTTGTAGAGCCAACAGTGATTGATTGGGGTACGGCTTTACGTCGAGCAGAAGATGTACCTGAGATCGTTTGTAAGGAGAGTTTTTCACCTGTATTGCATGTGGGTACATTCAGTCGACTTGAAGAGGCGGTGGAGATGACGAACTCGGTAGATCAGGCTCTAAGCAGCTCTTTGTTTTCTAGGTACGTAGCTCTTTTACTCGTTGAACCTTTTGCCTTTAAAGGTAAGAACTTGTAGTATTGAGAGTAAGATGCGTATTTTAGAAATGTGGGAGATCTATATCACTGGACCGGTCCTGAAGGATCTCGTTGTGGAATAGTGAATGTGAATGCGGGAACAAGTGGTGAGTCCAAGTACTATTGGTCATTGTTCACTTTCTATCCATGACTGGAAGTTTGGGATCCTTGAAAATTTATTTGCTCCAAAGGATTATTAGTAAGCTGATTTTGAATTTATGAATAAGGTGCTGAGATTGGAGCAGGATTTGGTGGTAATTTCCATACCGGTTGGGGACGAGAATCTGGTGGGGATGCATGGAAACAAGTTGAGTACTAAAATTTACAAAATTTGTTTCACTATGTTGAGCTGGCTACTGGAAAGGTAATCACTGACTTTGATCAATTGGCTTTGTAGTATTGTCGTTGGTCTAGTTGTACAATCAATCATTCGGAAGAGATGCCTTTAGCACAGGGTATCAACTTTGGTTAAATCCAATTGATTGAGGTTTTAAAGTCTTTGACTGGTATGATCATCTTGCATCCTTTGGTCATTTCTTGTACAGTACTATCTGGTTTATGTTTTCAGCGGTTGTAGTTTGTTTACAGTATTGAATCAACACCATAAAGACACTTTTTCATGTCAGGATGTCAGGCATGTCCAAGATTGGGGACATGACCCAATGATCATTATTGGAGCGGTGGCTTGACGTCTATGTGTGCACATATATATCTGCACTGCATCTTAGGCTGCGTTCACTTAAGCACTTTTTTGTGAAAATTCACATTCTTGAATGTTGAGAAATCACATTCTGTGAAATGTGTTTGATTTCTTATTCACAAGCATTCTAGAAATCACAGAATGCTTATAAAAAGCAATTTATTGGGACATTCTAAGAATTTGCTATTAGCACATTCTTGTCTACAAAAATCGCATTCTTCTTCTACCAACCTGTGCCAGTTGCCTGCTTTGTAAACTTATTCTCAGATTGTACAAGGTACCTTCTACCGTACGGAACCCCTCAAATCTGTTGCAAGTCCCCAGTCATTGCACAAGTTGTCTCAAAACCGATCATCCACCACTATTCTCAAAATTGATTGTCCATCACCATCCTTGATTGATGTCATTCTCAACTCAACTTATGTTGATCATTCCCATTCTCATTCTCAACCTAACCTGGTGTTTATACAACATTGTTAAGGTCAGGCTCTGGGATCACTGCTGGTCGACAGGAATGGAGGATGAGTTCTACCAAGCAATCTAGTTGATTACACAGATTGTCGGATGAGGAAAGAGAAAGCTAACTACGTAATACAAGTATATAGCCAACTCTCAGTTGTGACATGTGTCGTATCTTTCACAAGAGTTACATGTATGGATTCGTAACATTATCCCCCTTTTAACTCCCCCTTTTAACGCCCAAACTCCCTCTTGAAAGTTCTGCGTTCTTTCCCCAGGCAGCATTAAAAAACCCATTGGGAAAAAGCTATGCCTTCTCTCACCTTCTCCTTCTTCTCCTATATCTTGACGCACTATCCGGAAATCTCTTGTTGAAATCATTTAATAATTCTGAGCTGTTAATTAGATTCACCTCTGGTTCCCAAGAATTGTGATTTGCTTCGTATCCCTTCCATTTGACTAAATATTCGATTTTCTTATGTCTTGATCTGCAATCTAATATTTCTTCAACTTCCCACTCTTCTTCTCCATTAATTGTGATTGGCGGTGGTTGTTTGACTTCTCTTCTATGTTCAATTGGATCAATGTCATGTTTTCGTAATAGTGATACATGAAAGACTGGATACACGCCCTTCATTGAATGTGGTAGTTTCAATTTGTAAGCTGATGTGGATACTTTTTCAATAATAATGAAGGGACCTAGCCATCTATGTTCCAGTTTAGGAGTTGGCCTCGTCGTCGAAATGTTTTTTCCATTAAGCCAAACCTGATCCCCTATGTTCCAGTTGGGTGTCTGTCGTACGTGCTTATCAAATTGATTCTTCATTGACTCCTGTGACAATTCTAAACAGCTTGTCAGCTCCTTTTGTACTTCTTCTAATATACTTAGTCTATTTTCCACTATGGGAATACACTGATCACTCGACGGAATCTTGTTGAAAGTTGGGTTATAACCGTAGTTTGCCTTAAAAGGTGATATTCCCGTCGAATCGTGATCTCGGTTGTTGTAGGCAAATTCTGCCGTTGGTAGTAATGTCGCCCAGTCGTCTTGTCGGTACGTCACAAAATGTCTGAGATATTGTTCGATCGACTTGTTGACAATCTCACTTTGACCATCAGTCCTAGGATGAAACGCCGTAGAAGGGTGTAGTCGGATTCCTAGACGATTGTCCAGCTGTTTCGTGATCTGTGATATGAAAATTGTACCACGATCAGACACAATGCTCTTTGGAGTACCATGTAGTTTCCAAACGTCTTTAATCATTATGTCAGCTAGTTCATTGGCTGTCATAGATTCTCGACAAGGAAGGAAATGTGACATTTTCGTCAACCTATCTACTACCGTCAAAATGCTGTCATGTCCATTTGACTCTGGTAGTTTAGTTATCAGGTCATAACTAATATCGGTCCATGGTCCGGCCGGTATTGGTAATGGCTCCAACGTGCCGAATGGTTTCTGAGTGGATGATTTTACTCGAAGGCAGGAATCGCAACCGTCGACGTATTTGTTTACGTAAGACTTTTGAGATGGCCATGTGAAACATCTACGTATTAAGCTGAGGGTCTTAGATCTACCCGGGTGTCCTGCAAGGAGACTATCATGCCTACTTCGTACTATCAAATACTTAATGTAATCATCATTGGGTACTTTGATTCGGCCGTGGTTGTAAAGTATTCCATCCTTGACGTCGTAGTTCTTCATGGCAGTTTTAAGTTTTGAAGACATCGGATTTTCTTTTGCTTCTATGATTTCAGCCAATCTGATGTCGTCTCTGCTTGCTTTCCTAATTAAATCAATGATAGTGTCATCTGTGACGAACTCTTCTGTAAGTTCACCAGGCGTCGTCTCCTCCAAGCTAGTTTCAATTTCACTGAAATCAGATACACCTAAAACATCTACTTCGAACCAGTGTTCTGCATTTTGTAGGTCAATGTTTTCGTCATCAAAAAATGACTCCATGCTGTCTACATCAACTATGAATGAATCTTCAACCAAGTTTTCTGGTTTGATGAGTTGGCCAAAAGTCAATTTCTCTGCTTCGTCAGGTGCTAGATCCGGTCGTCGTGACAATGCGTCGGGTTTAGCAGCATTTCTCCCTGGTCGAAATTTGATAACAAAATCAAAACAACCTAGGGTTTCGGCCCAACGTGCCTGTCGTCGTGTCAACTGCTTTGTCGTCATGAAAGATTCAAGGTTCCGGTGGTCGGTATATACGATAACTTCCAGTCGGTTTGGATTACCTTCCAGGTAATGGCGCCATTCCTTGAAGGACGCCACAATCGCAAGCAATTCCTTGTCAAATATTTCGTAATTCCTCTCCGCCTGGAGTAGTGATCTGGAGAGGTAGGCCACCGGGTGTAATTCATGATCCTCGTCGCAGTATTGAGATAGAACCGCTCCCAAAGCAAAATCCGAACAATCACATTCAAGGATGAATGGTTTGTAAGGGTCTGCGATTTTGAGAATAGGCGCAGAGATGAATGACGTCTTGAGTGATTCGAAAGCTTTATCACAGTCAGAGTCCCAGATGTAAGGAGTCTTTGTTCTTGTCAGGTTATGAAGTGGTCGTGTTGTGCGAGAAAAATGGTCTATGAAACGTCTGTAGAAGTTTGAAAACCCAATGAAACGTTGGAGTTCGGTGACATTCTTTGGCGCAGGCCAGTCTTTCACTGCTTTGACTTTTGTAGGGTCCATTTTGACTCGATTTCTTGAAATGATAAGCCCGAGATATTCTATTTCAGATTTTGAAAACTCGCATTTTTCGGGTTTCAGCCATAAATCGTGCTTGTCGAGAATGTCAAGGATGCCGTCAACTGCTTTCTCATGATGAGTGTCCTTCTTTGTATAGATCATCGTGTCATCCAAATAGGCTGCGGTATCATTTCCTATTCGTCCTACTAGGATGTCTTGGATAAAGTACTGAAAGTACCCCGGGGCGCCTGTAGGTCCAAAAGGCATGGTGAGTGGCGCAAACTGGCCATGTTTGCATATAAAAGCCAGAATGTCCTCGTAGCCTTCAGCTACTCTCAAATTTCCATATGCGTTTCTAAGATCCAATTTTGTATATGTATCAGCGTCCAAAAGACTGTCAACCAAATCCATTGTCAGAGGCAATGGATATTTATTTTTGATTGTCAAAGAATTGAGCCTGCGATAATCAAAGCAAGGTCTCAAATTCCCATCTTTCTTCCCTGTGAATAACACAGGGGCAGCCCAAGGAGAGGTCGTCCTGCGTATAGTACCGTTTCGGAGTCCCTCGTCGATCATCTTCTTTAACACCTCATCTTCTGCAGGTGATAAAGGTATTATCCGACCGGCTTGTGGTTGAGCACCAGGTATCAGATCCACCTTGAAATCGTATCGACGACGTGGCGGTAGTCGTTGTGAATTAGACTTGCGGAACATGTGTAGATGGCGGTGATAATAGGCTGGGACGAGTTCTTCGACGGTCTTGGAGGGCTCCTTCATCTTCAAATCGGCAGCAAGTCGAGCGGAAGTGGACCAGGACGTCTTCGCGGCATCAAAATCGGTCGTAGGGCAACTATTCAGGGAAAGATTACACTGGCCAGCTGCTTCAGGCTTTGAGGTGACAGTAGGACTATCGGACTCACCTCGCGGGGATGCTAGCGTGTCTGCAAGAACACACATCCCCTCGTCAAATTTCCTAGCTTGCCCCTCTGGCATCACGTCAGGACCCATGGGGGATGTTTTCGGAATAGACGAAACTGCTTCAGCAGTCGCGAGTGAGATATAAGGCTCTGATTGCGTAAATGGTGGCATATCAGTGTGAGCAGTCGGAATTGAAACTTGAGGTGTTGATGGCGTGGAGTCCAATACTTCGGTGTTTGAACACGGCGTGGTTGATATAGGCTTCTGCGAGATTGGAGGCAAACAAAGCTTGCCAGCTGTTTCACGTGAGAGTAGGGAAGATTGGAGATCAGACTCACATCGCGGGGATGCTAACGTGTTTGTCAAAACACACATCCCCTCGTCACATTTCCTAGCATGCCCCTCTGGCATCACGTCAGGATCCTCGGGGGTGTTTGTCGGATAGGACGAAGCCGTATTATCAGCTGCGATGTAGTCGAAATGGTCTGGTGGCAATGTGACATCGGATTTTGGTGTAGAAATCTGTGAATTCGTGGGAAAAAGGTGATCGCCCAGGGTTTCTTGAGAGTCTGATTTAAAAAGAGAAGCATACGCACGTTGCGGGGATGTTAAAGTATCTGCTGCGATACACATCCCCTTGTCACTTTGCCTAGCGTCCCTTTTGGGTTCCACTCCGGGGTCCTGCAAGGGTGATGTCGGCCTGGACAAAGCCACAATGGCTGCAACGCTTGTTTGGTAATCAGAGACCTTCCCGGTCGTCCAGTTGATGCGGTTGTGATGTCTCTTGATCCAAGGGATTCCTAAAATCCCGTCGTAAGTATCTTTCACTCGAGTGATAATGAAGTTGGTGGTTGA